TATATATATATGCAAAATAACATTGAACATTTGACCCATTTTTATTGACCTGCCTTAAAAAAATTCACGCCGATTTTAATCATCAATATGACATGAATGCACATTATGTTCGAATGTATATTTGGAAAGGTGAATTTTTAATTTCTGGATGAAGGTACAAACCTTTGAAAATAATTATTAGCTGTTGGAGGTACCTTCGTCACTAGGTTCTTGACTATTGAGAGCCCAATGTAGATTAAAAATATATAGTTAACGTTTTGTAGAAAATTCGATGTGCGCATGTGCAGATCGCACATGAAATTTTCTTATAAAGTAAGCTACTTTTCAAACTGAATTTTTTACACTGCTGCACTGTTGAAAAGAATGGTATGCAGGTACACTTCATATCTATTTGAATACCAAATTTTTTTGTAATATTGTGATGTACTTTCTTATACTGACTCACGATACCCACGATGAGTTTTTTTTTTTGGGCGGGTCAACAAAAGCGTCATGAACAATGTTTTTACAAAAAAAAACCACATAATTATTAAAATTTGATGTACGTTGCATTTAAATTTTAAATTCATGTACTGTACATAAGTACGTACGTACGTACGTCAATTTTTAATCGATAGTCATTTGAAAATGAAATCTAACATATAACTTATACTATAAATTTTTTACAATAATTTTAAATTTTCTATAATTAGACAAAATTATTGATTTTAATTGGTTTAGATTACTGTATATAATTATTATTAATATCTCTTTAATATATATATACAAATTTTAATAATTTTACTATATACTATTAGAATTAAAAAAAAAAAAGTATATCTCAAAAACGTGCTAAGTAATTAAAGTCAGTTATTCTAAGTAAATATATCTAACCTATAGGAGCATCCTAATCCTAAAAATAAGGGCGGTGGTGATCACCACCGGTTATTTGTACTTAAATTCTTTGTTTAATATATACTATATATATATATATTAATAAAAATTATTATATCAAAAATATAAACTAAACTAAATTTATTATGTAAAATGTGGAAAATAAGCACAGCACTCTCTACTAGAGATGGGCAAGTTTAACTATATATTTAGTATAAAGTAATTATTACCTTGCCCATCTTTACATCCTACCCTACTTTTTTTAATTTCCGCTAATCTGAAATTAAAAAAAGTAAGGTAGAGGGTGCTGTGCTTATTCTCCACATTTTACGATAATAGAAAAACTAAAAATATCTAATACAATATATAATAAATATAAACCAATAAAATTGTAAATACTTTTATTATTTAATAAATTAGTTTAATTTATACTGTATAAATATTTAATACATAAAAAAGTAAATATAATAGCAAATTTATTGTTTGTATATACAGTATAACAAAAATTACTAATATTTTTTTAATTAGAATAAAATTAATAAAATTAAACCTGTTAAGCAAACAAATTTACTAATAAATTAATTGAATTAATTAAAAAATAAAAATTACTTAATATAATATTTGATAATTTGATTAGAAAAAAATCCCTCCAAAAGTATTTACAATTTTAAAAAAGCAAAATTAACTAATAATGCAAAATAGATTAGAGAAGTAAAAAAAAGTCAATCGATTTACTACGTAGTCAAAGTCGGCTAATAACCGTTGATCTAAAAAGACCATTCTAATAATACCAATAATACCAATATTTATTGTACAAGCATAATTTTTAAAAAACCAATAAAATATAAATATATTTACTGCATATTTAGCAAAGAACTAGCTTTTTTTATTTGATTCGATACTTCAACTTTTTGTACGATACCCCCAAAATAAGTATCGTACATATAAATTTTACAAAGAATGAACCTTACACCAGCCACACCAATACCAATCAAGCCACAGTAATTCACATGCCCAAGAATTTTTTGTTAACCGTATTAGGGGAATTTTGAAACATAATGATAACTAATTCGAATAATCAATGAATTTCGATGAATTTACTTGGATACTTGAATTTTTTTGATCGATAAACAGGATACTTAAAAAAAATATATCGAACAAATGAATATCAGATATCGGTTGATTATTTTTGACAGTTCAAATATCTACGTATCAATGGAGAACATAAGTTTCATAACTGATAATGATTATCGTTATACAATTACGATTATATAATTATCATTATTAAATAATTATACTATATAATGCTATAAGTAGTTATATGATTGTACGTAGTTAAACTTTTAAACAGTTAAACAGTTAAACAAACTAAATGGTTAAACAGTTAAACAAACTAAATGGTTAAACATTTAAACGACTAAAATGACTAAATAACAAAACGACTAGATAGTAAAGTTATTATTGGCTACACTATTCATATTAACTGTATAATTGAAAATCAAATTTGAGTAACCGGATTTGGGAGATTAAAATGCAGGTGCAGAGGTGACGGACATGATCCACTATTTGTAACATACTGTAAATCCGAATGGAGAAATGTAAAATTACAAACCAAACGAAATCCAAGGATTTTATTGAACCTATTGAAATTTATTTTTAGATATTCAATAAAAAAAAATAAAAATAAAAAAAAAAAATATCAAGAATGGATTCGTTGAAACGCCTGTAATTTATGTAATATATAACAATGAATTACATTCGTATTTTTATTTAAAAAAAGTTTTTCCTATATTTATCCAATTTGTCAGTAATTTTTTTTTAAACCTTGTTTGAATTTTTCTGGTAGTATATACTATACAGTATGTATGAAGGTGAATTCGCACAACCCTAAAGTACCTACAGTAAAGCACCACGTGATGAATGAAATCTAAATTTACTAAATTTATTGATTTATGCGTATAAAACATTTAAATTTATTTAGCGTACGTACGTACGTACAGTACATACGTACGGTACATACAGTACGTATGTACATTTACTTGGCATGAAATAATAGTAAAGAAGATTAAAAAAAAGGAGATTTAATAATGCAAAGAAATAAATGAAGAATAGATTGAACGTGTCAGAAAAACTCATTAAAAAAGAAAAACAGAAAAGGTAAAAAAGGCAAATCTGCAAGACTCCGTGTTTCCGTAAAATCCATCAATAAAGACAATAACTGATAAATAAACCCTGCGTAGATGTGATGCATTTTTTTGGATATTAAAAATATTAAAAGTAGCATACTTAGTAGCATTCTATTACTCACCTTACATAACATACCAAATCAGAGTACTCAAATCAGAGTATGTAAGTGGTGGTTAATTACCCAAATTGATAATTTAGAGTAACGATGATTCGAGTTTTCTTCTGGTTCCATTTGTTGGCGTTTCAATACTGCAATACTGCAAAACCGGATTTACAGTAATATTATGTTTATTTCTTAAAACTCTAAATTGTAGAATTGTAGAATTGTAGAATTGAGAATTGAGAATTGAGAGAATTAAGAGAATTGAGAGAATTGAGAAAATTGTTGAATTAGGAAAAAAAAAAAATTTTTTTTAAAATGATTTTTAAAATAATTTTTAAAATAATTTTTAAAATAATTTTTTAAAAAAAAAAATTTTAAAATAATAATAAAAAATAGTAATTCGCGTCTTACCATTGTTTCATTTAATTGCTGTTTGTAGTAATTTAATTTTTTTATGCATCAAATTATATGCCAAAAATTAATAATGATATGCACGAAATAAGGTCTAATATATATTGGTTATAAATACAGATTAAATCTTTTTAAAGTCATTCGCAGGTAACAATGATCATAAATTTTCACCAAGAACAACCAAGGGTAACCAAGGGTAACCAAGAAAATCGCATGATCAAAGATATCGCATGATTTTCATCTTATAGGTGTCAAAAAGTTGGATGACGAAAAGTTAAAAGCGTAACTCTGCGACAAATAAATTTGCAGATCAAAAAAATTATAGGATCATACTGTCATAGGTAAGTAATATCATTGTTATTATTGCACATAACGATAAACAAAGAAGCAACTTCGAAACAAGTAATTTGGCGCAAATTTGAGCTTTGTATCACAATTCAAAGTTCAAGAATATTCTACATAACGATAATGTTGTCAATTACTATTATTAAATTTATAGCGTTTATAACTGATAACGTAACGTTATCGGTTATCATTATATTGTTATATAATTAATTTAATGGTACAAATTTTTATATATTATATAACATTATATAACATTAAATTAAATAACATTAAATAACATTATATAACAATAAAATAACATTATATAACATTATATAACATGAGAATAACAAAAAAAAAAAAAAAAGTTTTTTTTTAAACACATAAAGTAGTACGTAAGTATATGTTATGAAATAAAAATGCAATAAATATTTAGAATGAATTTACTCTCACGAGTAAATTATTTTTCCATGTTAGAAAAAATTCGATGATACCAAGTTATTTTAAACACGATTTGTAACGATTCGTAACGATTCCTGGTAATTCTAATGCATGGTTATTATCCGACCTTGTTATAAAAAAAATCCAAATAAATAAATAATTAAGTTGATTGGTCAAATTTTATTTTATGATTTATTATAGATAGTTACAGTAAATAAATTCCTGATACGTCTATATATTCAAAAATCTTACCTTTATTATATATATATGCGGTAAATTGATATTGTAAAACAATTGAATCTATTGAACTAGACATAATCGCAGTACTTTATTTAGACTATTAGCCGCTGCTTTATTATTAATCATTCAATCGTTTATGGGGCCTTTCAGTCCGACAATCAAAAAAAAGTCATATATATAAAGATAACATCCTATTCTTTTTTTTTTTTTCAACTGTTTTTTTTTCTTTAATTAAAGAATTCTCTTTAAGAAAATTTCTCTAAAGAATTTCTTACAAGAAATTTCAATTCATTTTTTGAATTATCAACCGAGAAAATATTTAAATTACAATAAATACGATCCTCCTTTATTTTTAACAGAAAAAAAAAATTTTTTTTTAAGTTTACAGATATATAGAAAGTTTATACAATACATTAAAAAAATGACTTTACCTTACCAAAATAATAATAATAATCCTTTCGTTTCATCAATGATGTCTCCACCACCTTCACCAAAAAAAAGTGTAGTAGATACTACCACTTTAGAGAAAGCAACAATTTCACGTGAAATAAATACATTACTAAATGAAACAACAACAACAGAAAAACCTAAAGAACTAGTCGAAAAAACAATTAAACCAAAGAGTAGATTTCGAATGTTTATATGTGAAGCACCACCGGAACTTTTAGAATTAATAAAACGATCAGAAATTCAAAAATCTACAAATAATACAAATAATACAAATAATGCAAATAATGCAAATAATGCAAATAATGTGAAGAATAAACCTATTAATGCTATTTCGGCAGCGACCGTCAATCAACAACCTAAACCTAAACATAAAAGTGAGCACATGACAAATACAAATATGAAAAGTATGACAAGTATGAAAAATGATAATCACATAACTATATTCCAAAAAAGTCGTAATAGAATTCATAGAATTCGTAAAAATCCTTATCCAATGAAATCACCAACAAAATCATCACCAGGAATTACACTTAAACTTGATGTATTTACACCTTTTAAAGAGGATCCTATGGCACTTTTACATATAAATAAACCATATCAAACATTAACATCAGAGTGTAGTACACCTTCATTAACATCTTTTAATTCATATTTTAATTCATCACCTGATTCAACACCACCATCAAGTCCTAGTCCAACACAACAAAATAATAATAATAATGATAAGAAACAACAACGTAAAAAACAAAATAAAATTAAAAGAAATAATAATACAACAACAGTAGAAAGAAAAAGAAAAAGTAATAGTCTTGCAAGAGTTATGGCAGATCGAGGACTTTTAGATACAACATTTAATACAGTTACATCAGGAGAAATAAAATCTATTAGACTTCCACCACCACCACCAATGGAATGGGATAAATTAATAGAAAATATTAATGAAATGAGATTAAATAATAATATATTAAATAATATTACACCAAAAATTAGTTGGAAAGGACAACCACTTACAATTTCACATTTACCACATTTTAATGCTTTACATCGTAAAGAAGTAGAAGTAGCATCTACATTACGTCTTACACCAGTACAATATTTAACCGCTAAACATACTTTGGTATCAGCAGCACAAAGATATGTTCAAAAATCACTTCCATTTAGAAAAAGTGATGCGCAAAAATTACTTCGAATTGATGTAAATAAAGCTAGTAAACTCTGGGAATTCTTTCAACAAGTTAAATGGATTTAATTTATTAAATTTTATTAAATTAATTAAATCATTAAATTTATTAAATTTATTAAAATTAGATTTATTTAAAAAGGATCTATATTAATTAACGTTAAAAATACGTTAAAGATACATTAGTTAAAAAGATACATTGGTTAAAAAGATACATTAATTAGTTAGAGATACGTTTCAAATACCTTAAAGAATTACCTTAAAGAATTACCTTAAAGAATTACCTTAAAGAATACCTTAAAGAATTACCTTAAAGAATACCTTAAAGAAACATCTTAAAAATACGTTAAAAAAATAGTTTAAAAAAATTTTTTAAAACATAAAAAATCAATCAAATTGATTAATCAATTGATTAATCAATTGATCGTCAATCAATCAATCAATCAATAATCAATAACTAAAGTTATAATAGATATTAAATTACGATTATTTTATTTCACCATCTTTTCTAAGCAAGCAAAGCAAAGCAAACAAACAAGCGTAACACGCGTTTTTTTTTCTTTTTAGAAGTTCACAAAATATACTTATTTTGTAAATACTTTTATATAAATCATACTTTATAGACTTTTCTTTTCTTACTCTTTTTTTACTCGATCTTATTAAAAATTACCCATAAATGAACTCTTTTTTTAAAAAAATTCAAAGTTACCCTTTTTTTTGTACAGGTTTAGATATTGATAACCACAAACGTAAAGGTGTATGTTTTAAGAAAATAAAAATAAAAAACTTTTTTTTTTTTACTTATACGTTAAAATCATATGTTAAGATCATGAATATCATTATATAATCTTCAATGCTTAATATATAAAAGGTATTGACTTTTTTTTATTTTAGATAAGTACGTACAGAAGTAAAAAATTAATAAATCTTTTAATTAACCTTGTCGGTTCATAAATTAGTGTTAGCGTTAGTAAAGCAATATAGTATTAATATAGTATTAACATTTATGTAACGGTAACAAAAATAAAACTATTAAATAATTTCAGTGTGTTGCCGAATTAAACCAAAGGAAGTCAAATTTTTTAAATGATTAATAAGAAATGGTATTTCCGTACTGTACTTTAAGTATTGTACTTCAATGCTTTAAACAGACTTTTCTTGCCTTACAAAACGTTCAATAAACCAAAAATTTTCTCATGAAATTTTTGTAAAAAAAAGTAAATCACATCATCGTGTGCTCAAAATAACAATTACACTGTAGATTGTTTAGAAGATCGTAAAAAAAAAAAAAATGCGAATATTAAAAATGTAAAATAAATGACCTTATATCGGTTTCCTAATATAGTATGATCAAAAAAAACACGTTTTTAACGTTAAAATACAGTAATATTAATGTTTTATTGTAATACGTATTGTAATGTTCTAATGTTTAACGTTAATGTTAACATTAATAGTAATGTTAACGTTATGTTAGTGGTAGTGATTATGTTAGTGGCTTAGAAAAAAGAAGGTAAAAGAAAATAAAAGAAAGATTACTGTATTAGAAAGTATATTAAAAAGTGTATTAGAAAGTATATTAAAAAGTGTATTAAAAAATGTATTAAAAAGTGTATTAAAAGTGTATTAAAAGTGTATTAAAAAGTGTATTAAAAAGTGTGTTAAAAAAAGTATTTGATTAGTTCAAAGATAAAAGTGTATTAAAAGTGTATTAAAGTTAAAAAAAGGATTTGATTAGTTCAAAGAATAAAGATCTTTTTAAGACATTAACATGTGTATTTAAAACCGAATAAAGAGTTCTTTATTACAATAACATACTTCTGAATAAAGAATATACTTTAATAAAGCCAAGAACAATACGTAAACGAATCATCTCTAAATTAGCAAACTCTCAAATATGTAACTCAGCATAAACAAGCATCAACAACGCTGTAACTTTACAGTAAGTTACAGAAAGTTACAGTAACTTTTAGTAATTTTCAGTAATTTATAGTAATTATATAGTAATTGTATGATTGTATGATCTTTGACCAGCTAATCAAATTATAAAACAATTACCCCAACAAAATAGTTCTATATACAGAAAATAGCCTGAGAAAATGATTTACTACAGCCACATCAGCCTACATTTGATTGAACCTTATTTCCTAACTTGATGCTCAAACTGATTTGATCGTTATGTCATAAATAATACGTCATCATCATTTGATTTTTAATTATCACTCTCATTATTGGTGTTATTGATACGTAAAATTGGTAAATTGCTTCATGAAATGGTTTCATTATTTAAAATTTTTAAAATTTTATTTTATATAAATAAAATTTTATTACTTTTAAGTATTACCTTTAAGTACTGTACAAGTACTTAAGTGCTACAATTAAATTATTATAAATTATTATTTATCATCCGCCGCATTCTCCGGTACTTACCTAACAACATTTCCTTTTCATTCCAGCTTGGAAAATAAAATGACTCACATCAGTCTCACCAGTCGCACCAGTCGCACCAGTTGCTTTGTGATATTTTTCGGAAGTTACCTTGGCAAACAATGATGTTTCTTGTGCTCATTGTTAATCATTGGACCATTTTAAACCGTGTGTGATTTTATTCTTTTTTATTATTCTTTTTTATCGTTATTAATATTAAACAATCCATTAAATTGTTCAAGTCCCATCATTTCCCATCATCATATTTTTCTTTTTTGATAAGTTCCCATTGCACCACTCATTACGGTAATTACCCCTTTGTCCACAGGTCTCGGACTTTTGAATGTCAATATTGCTTTTTTCTGATAAAGGTTGGATTTTCAGGGAAATTCTTCATATTTGGAGACTAGAATTTAACAATTTATTGTCTGGTACCTAGACCCGAGCCCCGAGATTTTCATTGGTCATTTATAAATATACTTTTCTTTCCCACGAAAAAGTTTTAAAGTGGGGTTTTTTGTTTATTTGTATAAAATGCTCCGATAATAAATTAAACTGTTTATATTTTATTTAAATTGTAATAATTGTAATTAACAATGATCAATTTATACAGTATATATACATACATAATATATAAATAGGTATACGTCTACGTATATCCTTTTTTTTTAATATAAAAAGCCAAGTGTTTTCTACCATCCTTCCTTCAATACGATTCGATCATAAAAATATCTTGATAAAAAAGCTTTAATCTCAAAAATTACTTTATATCCCATTTTATAACACTTTTAAAAACCATTCAAAATACTTTACAAAAAGCATTATAAAAATGATTTTTGAACATAACGAAACTGCTTACGGTCAAAATTTAAGAGGCTTTGATGCCTTCGTACCTGATGCCTTTGGTTCGAATCCTGGTATGATTTCACATAAATCTATTATTTTTTTGGTTTTGTCGTTAAAAATTTATCATATTCATATATGTTTTAATTATTCTTTTTATAATTTAGCTCAAATGGAACAATATTACAATCAAATATATGTATACGGTCCAGACCCAAGATTTCCTATTTCACCTGCTACCCTTGCTGGTGCTGCCGCATACAAGGTATATATCTAATACCTTTTCATATTTTCTTTTATCGATTTTCCTCTCCATATAAAATCATCTCTTAACATCATCTCTTTTTTATCATCATCAATCATTATATCAATTTAAATAGGCCGTAAAATTACATGAAGGAAACTATCATCTTTCTGGTTTAGATCAACGTCAGAATCATAACTACGCTATAAATCTTATACGTGAAAGCGCTGCTAATGAAGCTAACCTATTATTACAACGATTCCCATTACCTGGTGTTGACCCTATGATTGTAGTAGTTTCCGCTGAAGCTGGTGCTCATAGATTATATGATCACGAACATTTTTAAAAAATTTTGATCACTATATTTTGTTTCGATTTTTTTTTTCTAATTCTTGTACAGAATAATATCAATGCTAAAGTTTTCGAATTGGTTTATCTTAGCTTCTTAGTTTTTTTCGAATTAATCTTTTAATTTTCATTTGTTAATAAAAATGTTTACATATTAAAAAATTTCTAGACTTATAGTTTGCAATAAAAATTTATCTACCGTACAGATTTCTGTACAGATTTTATCATATTACTTTAATTATTTTAGCAAAATTATTTTCAATAAAAATCATTACTTTCAATATTTTCATTCAAATCTACAAATAGCTACAACTTTTTAGTTGTTACGTGCAAATGTCCGCAGCATTCAAATTTCAAATCCCACAAAAAAAAAAGAAAAATGGGAAATGATAAAATACAAAATTGAATACAAAATTACGATTACGGAATTGTAGAATTACAGCACTAGCACTAATTAAAAAATAAATGCATGGTAATGTAACTGCGTATACGTATCAATGCCTAAACAAATACATGAATTTCTTCGCTTTCTTTTTTAGGAATTGACCGACTTTTTTTTTGTACGAGTAACACAAAACTTTAAAAAAAAGAATTCCGTGATTTTTTAGTTAGTTGTTTTTTTTGGGTATTTGGGCTTTCTTCTCATTATCCGAAGTATAAAACCTTTTGTTTACTGTATTTGCGTAAAATGACGTCCTGAGGCGTTATTTTGAGCCTTCCCAATTTAAAGAGAAACTAAAATAATTAATTTAACCGATTATTTTCTTTTTTTTTAAACAAATTTATGTTTCGATTCGGTTAAATTAATTACTAGCTCTCCATATTGTGTGTCTCAACGCCCCGGGGCGTTATTTGGAAATGCATGTTTATGCAATGTTACAGCAGATGAAAAAGAAACTCATTGAAATTTTATGAATTGATGTTTCAGTGAAGATCTGCAGCAAGCATAACAAACTTTAAATGACTCTTTTCACATTTCTATATGACGACGACCTTCTCACTAATCAGGGAAAAAAAAAATCAAAATTTCTAGCAATGCTTATTATTACAGTATTAGAGATGCCGACTGTTAATACGTATTATTAATTATTATTATATTAACAAATATTACTATCAAAATTTTTTGTGATTATAATAAGACTGATACTTGCTTTGCGAAGTGGTCTGATCAGAATTTTATTAGTCGGATTGCGTTTTTATCAACCGTAATTAGCAATAATACGTAAAAATAAATAAGCAAGGGGTAAAACCAATTATTACTCATCTTGCTATTTTGTTCATTTCTACGATACTTGTTATTTCCCGGTAAAATCGGGGGAATAAACTTTTTTGGAAGCTTATTAAATAATAATTATAATTCGTTAAACACCGTCATGACATCATGCAAAACGAAGAGTAACTTTCATATTTCCTACTACGGGGAAATAACCTGGTAGATCTCCGGAAATATTAGGACCTTTTGAATTTCTTTAAAGTTATGTGGATACTGTATTGGTATCGTATAACGTTTCACCACCAATATTTTACCTGCTTCGGATTTCTGTCAAATCCTAATTTTTAGTATGTACTTTATACTGATTTTTAGGCTAATATATATATATAATTAATATTGCTATAATAATATATATGCAAAACTACAAATATATTATATTTATATTTGCAAAACGTATACGTAATAACAAAAATATTTAAACTGTGTACATATCAATTTTGAAAATAGATATAAACAGTATATATATACGTATTAAAATAAAATATTTAATAAATTTAATTAATTTACAAATTAATAAAACAAATAATAGGACTTTTATAATAAATTACAATTTTTTTTATAATTTTATACGTATAAATTTTTAAATTTAAATTATTGGTGTGTAATTTTCTATTTATCAATCAAATTTTACTAATTTACTATTTTTATTACATATTACAAAGACTAGCTTGACAACTTTTTTTTTTTTTTTTATATATATTGCCAAACATAGAAACTTTATTAGTCATGATAAACACCTTTTTACAGAGCAATTGATATACAGTTTCTAATT